TTAATTCGGATTAACGCAGCTAAATCCGAATTAAAGTCGTAGTGTAGACCAGGCCTAAGTAAATTTTCTGTCACAAAAGCTTATTTCAGCTAAAGTGTTTATTGATTAATGTTAGATGTTATGCATGTACAATAACCTTTTGTTGTTCCATCCTTCCTTTTCTCCCATCCCCACTGTTTGTGCAGGCTCTTCAAAGTAACCTGAAGTACTCCCTCTTGCCAAGACGTCTGATTATCAGTAAGAGATTATCTCAGTGCTTACATCCAGCTTTACCTAGTGGAGTGCATTTAAAAGCACTAGAGACCTATGAAATCATCTTTAAAATTATTGGGACAAAATGGCTTGCCAAAGACTTATTCCTCTACAGGTAAATTGCTCTTTGAAAACTCAGACTTAAAATTTCATAATAGATTATTTTTTAAAATGACTGAATCTTTCTTTTTCTTTTTTTAAAGCTCTGGCTTGTTTCCCCTGCTAGCAAATGCAGCAATGTCAGTGAGGCCTATTCTCCTCGGTTTGTATGAGAAATATTTTCTTCCTCTGCAGAAGTCCCTCTTGCCAAGTCTTCAAGCCTTTGTAATTGGACTGCTGCCTGGATTGGAGGAGGGGTCGGAAATTTATGACAGGTGGAATTGCTTTTGTTACTTTAGAAACATAAAATGCAATACTCAATCACTTCCCTATTTATTGAATTTTTATTTATTTATTTTGAAGGAACCCATTTCTAGAAATCCTCATCCAGAGGGAGGATGTCTAATGGAGGGATACTGAGTGATGGGATGGAAAGGGAAAAATACTAGAAGTTGGAAGGGAACAGAAGAAAGACAGATGCATGAATGCAAGGGGATGTGGGGGAGGGGTAAGGGAGAAAAGAAATACAAGGATAAAAAGAAATTGAAAAGTTAAACTTTGGGGGGAAAGTTGCATTGAGGCAAATTATTGAGTCGTCCACTATATTTAGAAAGCATCACAGCTCTCCTTTCAAAATTTCTGAATACTTACCTTTCAAATCTGTAATGGGGTATTGAGGAGATCTTTTGACAGACTAAACTAAGCCTGTGTTTTTTGCACTCCTTAAATCTTTTGATAAAGGGGAGTTCCTGTTTTCCGTACATATCTAGATTGCAAGCATTCTATACTAGAAGACCACCTTGTGGTCCTGGCTGCACTAGTAAATGTACCACTTCTAAAACTCACTATCAAAAATGCCTTTTTCACCCAAAGCCCCTTAATGCGGTATTGAAAATGATGACCAGCTAGTGTGGTCAGGTTCAACAAAGTTCAACACACTTTGTAGCAATGCATGCTAGATTCCTGGTTGAAGAGGTCCTGTTGCAGTACACTTAGTCACTAGGCTTTTGGTTATGTAATGATTGTACTTCCATCAAGTAATAGCTGTAACAAAACTATTTTGCAACAACCCGTTGCAGGAATTGCACCCCTAGATAACTTTCATTATATTTCACTGAATACTCTCTATACGTAAACAGTGACTAAATGTTTGTCCTATACAGTATGTATGTGTTTTCCAGATTGATGCATTCTGTTCTCCTTCCCAAGAAATGGTGGAATTGAGTTTAGTTATAATTGTCTGTTTTGACAAAAGATGTTTTGTTTAGCTTCATGTAATGTTTCTTTGTAAAACAGTCTCAAGTCATGAAGGCGTAGAAAAAGCTTTATTTACATGGACAGTTAGCATCTATTGTTATGAGTTAACAAGAATAAGCTGCATTTGTTTAGTGACTGGTAACTAGCTTTTAACTGCTGAATTACCAGCTGTTAGGCAGATGGATAAGTATAAGTGTTGCCTCTTCTACAACTGCTGCACAAAAGAGTGAGTTTAAAGTGTGTGTGTGTGTGTGTGTGTGTGTGTTAGATTGGTTTATACCAGGGATCGGCAACCTTTGGCACGCAGCCCGCCAGGGTAAGTACCCTGGCGGGCCGGGCCAGTTTGTTTACCCGCTGCGTCCGCAGGTTCAGCTGATCGCGGCTCCCACTGGACACGGTTCGCCACTCCGGGCCAATGGGGGCAGCGGGAAGCAGCGGCCTGCCTGCGCCGCTTCCCGCAGCCCCCATTGGCCTGGATCGGCAAACCGTGGCCAGTGGGAGCCGCGATTGGCCGTATACAGTGAAGTATTGGTGCAGTTTCTTTATTCTGACCCCAGTAATTCTTTTGAATCAAAGTCATCTTCTCATCTGACCTAACCAAAGTCTTTAAAATATTCTATTTATTTGAAACTCACTAGGTTTGAAGTAAGAATTAACAGTAGTTTCAGGTACTACACTTTATCCACAAAGTCCCCTGTCAATTTTTGTGGTTTTATAATCTCGTTTTTCTTTTTCTTTCTTTCTTTCTTTTAATATTTTTTCTCTCCCTTTCACTTTTAGCTGTGTCTCTCTGGGGACACACAAATGGGATGGCTAATCATAGTGAAGTCTCTTGTAGTGAAACACTATAACTTTACATGGTAGTGCAAAAAGCACAAAGTAAGCCGAATGACAAGTTTTTTCTTTAGTTTTTGAGTTTTACTCTTCTTGGTTGTGTAAGAATGGTAAATAAAACACTTTAAGGCAGAAGCGATTAAGCTGGGTAAATTTTACTTCAGCTGTATTGAAGTCTGTGTAATGTGACAGAAATTTAACCATTAAGTGCAGCAATACTGTGAAAAGCAACTTTGCAAAAAGATATCGTGTGATCCCATATTTGTGTCCATTTTATTATTTTAAAACTCAGTCTGCTCAATTTACAAGTACAAATATGTGTGGGGTTATTTTCCAACTACCAGCCCAGTAAGCTTACACTAGAATCTGAAAGTCAATTTAGGTTCTTTTTTGGCTCGGACATCAGCAGTAATACATCTTCTACAATCAGAACGTAGTTAATAATTCTGCTGTGTGTGAACTAGAATAGCAGCTCACATACTCATAGCTACATTGGTTGTGCAGGATTAGCAATTTTTGTGAGTGAAAATTTTGTGGTCATTAAAGTAAGTAAGCTAACTGAATGTACACTGGAATCAGGTTTCTTAAGGAAAGGTGTTTCTCTTTTACATGGTTGGTTGTTAGAGTAGAACCAAGCTTTACATTCTACATGCAGTATTATTGCAAACAATTGGAAATTAGAGATGGAAGAAGCTTGACACAGTTCAGGGCAACTGCATCTGTATTCCCCCTCTATGGTCCAGCAGGGCATCCCCTTAGGCTTTCAGCTCCCCAGCCATTGCCTCGCTTGGGTAGAGACACACACACACACACACCTCTTTCTGACTAAGGGATTGCCACACTTCACAGTCCCCTGACTATACTGTGAAATCCTCCACAAAAGACAGGCTGCCTAAGCAGGCTTCTTTTGCCTTCTCTTCAGGGACGATACACAGTGTAATTGCCACAGACATAAGGTTTCACACGGCTCTTTCTAAGCAAGAACGTTTTAGTCTCAAGGTAAAAGCATTACAGAGTGAACTAATTTGAAACAATAAAAAAAACCCCACACAAATGCTAATAAGCTTACTAGAGATCCCTCATCCCAACTCCAACATATGCCCCTGCAGTCCTTCAAAATCCCACATTGGGTGTTCCTGTGGTTTCAAGATCATAACATCCTTTTGCCCAGAACAAGAACCCTCATGAGACTGTGAGGCACTCGTTTATCCCACTTGGGCCTTTTGAAAAGACCATGAATAGGTTGTCAACCAGACAATGGATTTCTGGTCAAAGCAAAGCTTCAAAAGGATGGACTCAGAGCTGGGTCACTTGCATTCTCCTCACCTCAAGTATTTGCTGGGAAATCTACTTCACGCTTACTGTCCCAAAAGTTGACGTTTTTACTACTACTCAAAGATTTCATTAGTCATGTCTCTGAGAAAAGTGGCATACAATTCCACAATAACATATAAACAATTGCCTTTTTAATACAATGGACCCCAAAGGCATTACATTTAATTCAGTAAAGTTTATCTTTATTCTATAATATTTGTCCAGGATATTGTCCTATCTGTGTCAAGGCTTTCACACACTCCTTTTTCTTCCTCAGGCAAGTGGGTGTGATGATCCTTTGGGCTAACCTCGACATAATTATCACACAGTTTTTAGATGTTTAAAATAATATTTTAAATTTAGCTACTATAGATATTGAACCTGATCACCTAATATGTTGTATTAAAGTGTACACTGTACAAATTTCATAGCAACCAATGAAAAGTTAAAGTATTTATATTGCATTAGTGCAGAGATGAGCTACTGAGCAAACACTGAAATGCATGCGTGTTTCACTGAAACAAAGTGACTTAACACACAGCTAAAAATCATCATCATTCTGTGCAAGTCCTTATAGTATGCATGAGATTCTTTCAGTGCAACTGGTTCAGGAATTAGCTACCAGAAACTACTGCATTATTTACTGTCCAGTTACAGTTTGTGAGACATTTATGCAAAACGGGTAGTTGCTGGGGAAGTTGCCAAAGTGGGCAGACAAACATTGTTCCATTGAATGCGCACAATGGTAAAAGATTCGTTACAGCACTTGCCATTATGGCAAAATCATATTGGAAAGGGTAACGGGGCAATCCCGCGGGCCAGATCCAAAGCCCTGAGGGGCCGGATCCAGCCCGCGGGCCGTAGTTTGCCCACCCTGAGTTACACGGTATTAACAAACTGAAAGTATTGCACTTGAATTCAGTGACAGAGTTCAATGGAATTAACATTATGTTTTACATGGAAAGGCAAATCTTTATAATATTATTACCTTTTTTTCTCCCCACACAGAACAGATGCTTTGCTTGTGAAGCTGTCTGTACTAACAGGCCAAGAAGTGTTCTATGCTGCTATCTGGGGGAGTGTTCTGGTCAGCCCTTCTATAAGACTTCCTGCTTCTCTGTTTGTTGTGAGTCATATCAACAGAGAGTTGTCTGGAAAACAGCAGAAGTACATGCTGGGAACTGATTATAAGCTCACAGTAAGTTCATGACGTTGCTAGTGGGATATTCTCAACTACCATAATGCTGACACAAACTGGAAAACACTATCCTTCTTCGTACAAATTGAAGTCCCAATCTCTTTAAAGAGCATCAGTAAGAGAATGAAATGTCTAATTCAAAATTTGCTCAATGAGTGCAGAATCTCAACTGAAGTGGTAATAATGAAAAATAACTCTTGCGAACTTTGATCAATATGTAGAATGGCAAATAGGTCATTTAGAAAAACATGGTCAGTGATACAAATAAGAAATGGATGGTGTTGCCTTGTTACAGTAAAACTGCTTTAACCCTGTTATTTAGTTGTATTGCAGTAGTGCTCAAAGACTCCAATCAGAATTGAGGCCCTATTGTGTTAGGCATTGTACACAAACATTTCAAAATCAGTATCCGTTTTATACACCATAAAAAATAAAAAAGGAGAGGTGGAGTGAGATCCAATGCATTCTTACACTTAGTGAAAAGACTATCCTCTGCAACCACTAATATTAGCTGCCTACCTATTGCAGTTGTCCAGAAGTGCTTGGGAGAAGAAGATTGGAGAGTCTCATAATTCTTGGCTCCAGAAAGTAGGACAAAAATTTGAAAAATAGGAAATGAGTAGAGAAGCGGTGCATTGGGGGAGTGAACTGCCTAGGGGTGGCATGTCCTTGATAATTTTTAACCAAACTCCTTTACAACCCCAGCATTTCTGCACTCACCTTGGGCTGCAGTTTCTTTGGTTACAGGAATATTATGTACAGCATTAAGGATTTGACTTGGTCTAAATCAGAAAAGACAAGAAATGAAAAATAAAGCTGACATGCCCATCTTTGCTTACTCCATTTTGCCTTTAGGAATGGAATGTCAAACTCTGTCATTGTACGTCAGACACAGTGTTTAAGATGTTCTTGTTTTTTTTAACTTTAACACTGTGCACCTTTTGACATTATTTAAAATAACATACAACTAAACCAAACAGCAGTAAACCAACAGGAGAACTCCAGTATCTATTGTCTTGTATTTAATTTCCTTTCTTGAAATTGAAAAATGTTTCATAGGTTTTAAATTACCTATCGTTTTACCAGAAATACTGGAATAACTGTAACTAATCATCAGACAGGATGTGTCATCTCAAGCTGCATTGGCAGGCATCAGATATTCAAAATTGTGGCCTACCCAGATATGTGGAAATGCTAATCATTATATATGGAAACAATATAAAGCTGAATCATTTTTATGTTCTCCTATTTGTGGAAAGAAAGTTCTCTTTAAATATGTAGTTTTCGATGCTTTCCAAGTGTCGCCATGCCTCAGTGGGTCACAGCTGAAGATGCCAGATGCAGGACAAACAGCTGAGAAATTACCCAATAATCATACTGTTGTCAATCCTTTAGTATCTAATATCTAAAGGTTTATTTATAAGAGAAAAGAAAGAGGAGAGAGTTCAAATGGTCAAAGGAATCAAATAGATACATGCATTGCAAAGTTCTTGGATCGGGTTTGAAGCAGTGATGAAATGAACTGCTGGTTTATAATATCTCTGGTAACATCCAAAAGATTGGAAGGTCCTCAGTCCATTGATTAGAATGCTCCTTTTAGCGTAAGTCTGTAGTCCAGAGATCAGAGCAGGAAAGAGGCAAAATGGAGATGTTCCAGGGCCTTTTATATTTTCTCCCATGTGGAGGGAAAACTCTGCCTTACGCTATGTCTACACTACGGACCTTACAGCGGCATAGCTGTAGCAGTACACCTGTGCCGCTGTAAGGTCTCCCGTGTAGAGAGCTCTCCTGCCGGCATAGTTAAACCACCCGCAACGAGCGGCATTAGCTATGTTGTCAGGAGAGCCTCTCCTGCCAACATAGCGCTGGCCACACCAGCACTTTTGCCACGGAAACGTCTGTCGGTCAGGGGGGTGCTTTTTTTACACCCCTGACCGACAAAAGTTTTACCAACGAAAGTGGTAGTCTAGACAAACCCTTAGTTTGTGGAAAAGTACAGGAACAAGATGGAGTCCAGAGTCACATGAGCAAGTCACATGCCGTTGCATGCTGTGATGAGTCATACCAGGAGTCATTACCCATATTCTGGCTAAAATGTCCTCCGGAAGGCCCATCCTGCGGGGATAAACTTCTTCCATGGCCCATTGTGTTCATTGATGGGCCATCAACTCTAATGGTCCAGTCACACTGTGCTAGCTAGACTTAGATATAAACTACTTTAGTTATCACAGGAGCAAACACATTTGAAATAAAGGTATATAGTCAATACTCATAACTTCAGGTACAAAAAAGATAAATGCGTACAAACAGGATAATCCTATTCAGCAAATCACAACTTTTCCATTGACACTTTACATGACATACTTTGCACAAGATTTTTTGCTATTGCATAACAGTGGTAGCAACACTGATATACATGGTCACATTTTAATCATATAACGTCACACCAAGTAAAGGTACTGATGTTGGTATTCCTATTAGAAGATAAAATAAATAATTAAAATATTTAATAGCTGTCAACAATATTCATAATTTAGGTAATGATTATAACTATAAATAAAATGGTATTATGTTTCTTTCTCAAATTACAGGTAAAATCTTTGCGTGTATCAGTATTGGATTCAAATGTTCTTGTGCAAAGAAACACTTTGGAAGTGCTTCTCTTCTTTTTTCCATTTTATACATCTTTGGTAAGAGCATTATTTGAATGTCATTATGATTACATTTTATTGGCGGAAGGATAAGATCTTACTGAGGGAAGATTCTTGTAGGGTCCTACATAATCTAGATATTCCTGTGAATATACACCAGTTATTTTCTCTTTCTAAGGATATGTCTATATGACAAAAAAACCCAAAACAACCCTGCAGAAGCAAGTCTCAGAGCTCAGTTCTACAGACTTGACCTCATGGAACTTTACACTGTGGCCATAAAAATAGCCACATAGACATTTCTGCTTGGGTTGGTCTTTGGGTTCTGAAGCCTGGGGAGGGGAGTGGGTTTGACCCTGAGCTCCAGCCCAGTCTGGAATATCTACGTGATTATTTTTGGTGCCATAGCATGAGGTTCACAAGCACAAATCTGTAGACCTGGGCTCTGAGACTTGCTGCTGCAGGCTTGTTGGGGGGGGGGGGGGGTTGTTTTTGTTTTTAATTCCCTTTCTTCCCCTCCCCATGTAGACATATCCTTGGGGTCTAATCCTGCACCATTTGCAGTCACTAGTTTGGCTGTGGACGGGGTGAAAGTAACATACAGGATTTACCGGTACTGCTGGAGTCCTGAGGGAGGGGGGGCCTCATCCGGAAGAAGCGGGGCCTCTCAAGATTTAAAGGCCCTGGGGCACCGTCTGTGGCTGGGAGCCCCAGGGCCTTTAAATCAACCTGGGGCTCCCAGCTGCCGAGGTGGCTGGGAGCCCCCAGGGCTCAGGGGCAAATTAAAGAGCCCTTTAAATCCCTCCCGCAGCTCCGGTGGCTGGGCTGGGGCCAGGATTTAAAGGGCTCTGGGCTCCCCGCTGCGGCTGGGAGCTCCAGGACTTTTAAATCCCTGCCCGAGCCTGGCTGCCGGGCTGGGGCCGGGATTTAAAGGGCTTGGAGCTCCCCGCCCCAAGCCCTTTAAATCCCCACCGCGGAAGCCGGTGCGGTCCAGCACGGTGTACTGGCTCTTGCCTGTATGCCATACCGTACTGTACCAGCTTATTTTCACCTCTGGCTGTGGACTTCAGCAGGGTCAGGCATCCACTTTGTTTCCCCAAAGTCCCACATAGTGGTTACCATCCATTAGGCCTGAGACACCACTGGTGTTCTTAAACACACACTTGGGGGGTTGCTAACATAAAATGTGAAGAGCTCAAGCCTGAGCAACTATGTATAGGAAATTAACTGTATTTTTATTTTTCCCAGCTAAGAGTTCTTAAGTGGTTGGGGTTGTCTGGACTAAATTAAAATATTTACACAGTATTTGCAAAATCTAATAGATTTTTCCCCTATTACTTTTTGCTAGTTTGTCTCCTAGCATCATCCTAGTGTTGAAGATGTCAGCTAATTTAGTTTGTTAGTGAGTAACAAAATTGGTTAATTCTTAATTAGGCTTGATGTCTTAATTGTGGTTATGCAATAAAAATTTGAAAATGACCACACAATTTTAAAGGAAGACTTCAGTGGATCAATTTCTACTGAGATTTTAAATTGCAGGTTGTTGATGGTTTGTCCCTGTTCTCCTTTAGTAGGCTAGATCTATTAACATATCTTTGTCAGTATTATATCTGATACTGGTAGCCATTAGAAATTAGTTAATTGTGAATTTTACAGTTCACCTACAGCTAAGTTGTCTTTATTCTTTGTCTAGGACTACAATGAAAGTGCTATTCCACTGCTCAGGTCTGATGTAGTCCATATTCTCTCAGCAGCTACACAAACACTCTTGAGGAGAGACATGTCACTAAATAGAAGATTATATGCGTGGTTGCTAGGTACTGTGCAATATGTGGTGACATTAAGTGTAAATATCTAATTTGTACTTTGTCCACTACATTTGAATATACTTTTCCAGAGATAAATAATAGAAGTCTCTTCATTCTGTTCATAAATGACAACTCTTTTGCAATTGAGAATTCTATTAAGCCAATATTGTTTCAGTTGATAAATAAATTCTGCCTTCTTAAATCTTAGTGTCTCTAACAAATACTTGATATCCCTCATCACAATTCAGTCTCGGAATGTCTATAACAAGTTTGGGAGATAACTTTAGTCAGAGAGCAAACATGCCTGAATTTGAAGCAGAAATGATTGTTCTTTGTAATCTGTGAATCTCGATTTACATACCATAGCATTTAACAACACAACAATTCTGTACAGATGCAATTCTTAAACTGTCGTATGTGAGCTGTTGTCAAGTAGAAAAAAGGGTTGCTTTAAAGTAGTGAATCGGAATCAAAATCTTATCCAATTAAAATTACAATGGTGATAACATAGTTTCAGTAACAAACTGATAACAATAATTACCAAGTTAGTCTTCCATTTATAAGACTCCTTAATACCAGGCTGGCTTGGTTGTCTCTTCTCTCCATATGAGGGGAGATTAATAAAATAGGGACTTTTCATTTTGGAAAAGAGATGACTAAGGTAGGATATGATAGAGGTCTGTTAAATCATGACTGGTGTGGAGAAAGTAAATAAGGAAGTGCTATTTACTCCTCATAACACAAGAACTAGAGGTCACCAAATGAAATTAATAGGCAGCAGGTTTAAAACAAACAAAAGGAAGTATTTCTTCACACAGTGCACAGTCAACCTGTGGAACTCCTTGCCAGACGATGTTGTGAAGGCCAAGACAATAACAGGGTTCAAAAAAGAACTAGATAAATTCATGGAGGATAGGTCCATCAATGGCTATTATCCAGGATGGGCAGGAATGGTGTCCCTAGCCTCTGTTTGCCAGAAGCTGGGACTGGGCAACAGTAGATGAATCACTTGATGATTTCTTGTTCTGTTCTTCCCCTCTGGGGCACCTGGAATTGGCCACCATTGGAAGACAGATACCTGGCTAGATGGACCTTTGGTCTGACCCAGTATGGCTCTTCTTATGTTCTTATTGCTAGTGCAATGCTCTGTCCTGCAGAGAACTGATGTTGGATCTAAAGCTTCAGTCATAACTCACAAGGGTGTCCGGGTTTTAGAAGAGGCACAGAAAATAGCATGATGAAATCTTGGCCCTGGTGCAGTCAGTAGCAATACTCTCATTGATCTCATGGAGCCAGAATTCTATCCAGTTGCTTAATCTCTGTGGGGAGGGAGGAGGCGACGACTTCGATCGGCTCTGAAGGGATCTATCTATCTCTAGCTTTCACTTCCAGAAGGATGCTTCAGGCCGACACCATTTCAAGGGTTGGGAGGGATTTGATTAGCTGTTGATGATGGTGATACATATATTACCATAATCACCAGGATCCCATTGTGCTAAGCGCTGTACAAAGACAGAGCTAAAAGATGGTGCCCGCTCCAAGCAGCTTACAATCTAAGTATAAGGCAAGAGACAACAGATGGATATAGACAGAGGGCTAGTCTACACTGGCAATGCTAAAGCGCTGCTGCGGCTGCGCTTTAACATGCCTCGTGTGGTCGTGGTGCAGCGCAGGAAGAGAGCTCTCCCAGCACTCTCTAAAAACCACCTCCACAAGAGGTGTAGCTACCAGCGCTGGTGCACTGTCTACACTGGTGCTTTACAGTGCTGAAACTTGCTGCGCTGGGGGGTGTTTTTTCACACCCCTGAGCGAGAAAGTTGCAGCGCTGTAAAGCACCAGTGTAGACAAGCCCAGAGAGAGGGCGGGAGAACCAGGAAACAATGAGACAATATTGGTCATAATAGGCATTGATCTCAATACTCCAGTATCACAGCCATTATCAAGTTTTTTGTGTAGGTATCACAGAAAAGGAGAGTTTTAAGGGTTTTTTTTTTTTAAAGGATGTGAGTGAGACAGTTTTGCAGATGTTTGTGGGGACTTCCTCCTGAGTATCACGGGAATGTGGGAGAAGGCACAAAGGTGCTTGTTTGAAAATTTTAACAAATGGGCAATGGAGTCTGGCATCACAGACTAATTGGAGGCAGGAGTTGACATCTCAGTAGTGATTGAGAGATGATAGGTAGGGTGGGGATAGCCCATGTAGGGCCTTGAAAGTGAGGACAAGTGGCTTATGTTTGATGTGCTAGAGGAGAGGGAGCCCAGTGAAGGGATGCAAAGAGAGGTCATGTGGTCAAAACAACCAGTAGGGAAAATGATCTTTGCAGCAACTTTCTACTTGAATCCAAGGGCGGCAAGATTGCATTTGTCCAGGCCAAAGAGAAGAATGTTGTAGTAATAGACATGAGAGCCTGCACAAGAGTTTTAGCTGTGTGGATGGATAGGAAAATATTTTAGATGTTATGCAGAAATATCTGCATGGTTCAGTCATAGCCTGTATTAGAGGCCCTAGAAAGAGGCCCAAGCTGCAGATGACACACAAGTTACTTGGTGGTTGGCCTCCACGTAAGCGCACATTTTTTTGAAGGCATTCAGCCTGGACTGGAGCATAAACTACATCTTGGACAAATTCAGGTTAAAATGAATATAATTGCTTCTATTGCTTGTTTTATGGTATGTATGTTACATCAGTATTTTCTGTACTCATGCTGTTTTTATTTAATTTGTAGGCTCTGATATTAAAGGTGGTACTTTTGCTTCAGATTCTGCAGCTTTTGAAGATCATGCCCTCTATTTTTTTGGAAAATATTCCAAAGATCTTTTAGTTGAGGTTGGTATTTATTTTGTTAAACCTCAGAACAAACTGCTGTTCATCTTGTTCACTGTATGTCCTTCATGGCCTCTCTTCCTGAACTATAACAGATGGGAGGAGATCATTATTTTGTATTCATTTGACAGGAAGTCTGAACGCATGTTGTGCTGTTTTGTTCCATTTTATGGGCATGCGATGTAAATGGAATCTAATGAAAACTGTCAGTTCCGTCTACACTAGCCTACCTGAATTACTAAAAACAAATCCTGTTTATCCAAAACTTTCTTGCGTATGTATCAAATAAACTGAAAATTTCCTTGATTATCTGAATTAATTTATTCTCCCCCCTATTCTGTTTTAGTAATCTAAGTTTGGCACCTAGTGCAAGAATCCAGACCTAAAATTATTAATAAAATGACAGTATCTCTCCTTAGTAGTTGTCACATTTTGGTGTTTTCTTTTAACAGGCTTTGATTGAAATATTGCATCAGAAGCTCTCAGAGGCTGCCTTAGAAGATCATGCATATCTGAAACCTTTCCGTATCCTAATTAGTCTCCTTGACAAACCTGAAATAGGTAATATTAAATATCACTACTGACACAGACTGCTAAGAACTGCTGTACTATAGTGATGACATGATGTATAGAAGGCTTTCTGTTAATCATCTCCAAATGGTGCAGTCCCTCCTCTACCCCAGGTTCCAGCCCCTGGGTCCTATATTGCAGAGCAGCCATCCATTTCAGCCTCAATATTCTGCTCAACTCCCCACCCGGGGGCTATTTTCTACAATCCTGTCGCTGATCTGACTTTCTCTTTGGTCTTTGCCTGCTTCTGATCACAGCCCCTTTCCCAGGCTGCATACCTCCCTCTGGCTGTTAGGAAAACAACAAGTTCTTACCCCTCCCTGGTCACCTTCCTTATCTCATTTAGCTTAGTTTCTTGGGCAACTCTCTCCTCTTTCTGTACAGTGTCTTTCCCAACCTTTCGCTGTTCCTGGCAAGCCTCCTCCCTAGGCCCTTCTTGCTCCTCCTGAGTCTCCCTTGACTGATCTGCATATCCTGTTTCCCGCAGTAGTCACGTCCTCAGTCTGTCGTGCTCAAGAGATCCACAGTCCTATAATGCAAGCTGGCAGTGCCTCACCCATAAAGGGCCAGCACATCCTCCTATACTATGCAGGTGCCAAGATTACATACCTGATTTGCTGTATATACCAATATTTTATAAAACCTACTCAGAAGTATTTACTGTACTTGAACATTGACAGACACAAGATGCTTATGAGTAACTTGTGGTTATTTGAAACTTGTGTACTCTTTGGCAACTTGTTGCTTACGAGATTTGTTTTCTCGCTGAAGGAATCTCATGCCTGTAAACCATCTCCTGTAGAAAATGACGTTTTTTAATGCTGTGCAGGAAACTGGGCATGGTAACCCTGCTTATGAAGATTTGATCACAGTATCTGTGTAGATGGTACCATGAATGAATCATTCATGTTATGAGCTTATAAATATTTAGCTGACTGCGGCTTAAATTTTTTAGTATTTGTCTGAGGATTCTCCTATTTCATGGATGGTGGAGAGGAAAATATCTTTGTTTGCCTCTCTCAATGCATTTGCCCCTTTGTTCTTTACAAATTCATCAATACATCAGACAGCATTTATGTGAAAAACCAGGATGAACGTGTACTGTCCTTTACCAAGTGAAAAAAATTTGTACAGATTTTGTTCAAGGCGCTCAGTTCAGTGTTCATTTGTCTACAAAGGAAGCAAACTTCTTGAGTGAATGTAACAGGATGCTTGCTTTTCTTGTCCAGGCGTGACTTTCTTTTAGACACATTGTAACACAGGTAGATTTCTTTTTAAAGGGTGCTTTCTTGCTTAAGAAATATTTATATGATATAAGTTGTTACACTTAGAGCCTTTTGTTATGTATAAGCACTGTTTGGTGTATGGATTTTATTTTATTTTTTAAAATTTCTGAGCAGGAAAGCACTATTAAATAAAACTATTGGATCAATCAAATAATATATATTTTGTACATTAGGATATAAACTAAGCTATAATCCAAGAGCAAAAGCAGTGAAATAAAACCTGTCCTGCATTCATCTAAACCACAAAATTAGAAATATTCCTATTTCTGTAGTACACAAAAAAGTATTAAAAAGCTTCTTGAGCCTTAAGTCAATGTGAATTAAACACTTCATTTTGAAATCAATATATTGCAAAGATACTATGCAAAAGAGCATAACATAAAGAGAATATTTTTCTTCAAGGCAGAGTGACCTAGTGGATAGAGCACTAGACCGCGACTCAGGAGACCTGGTTCTATTCCTGGCTCACCCACTGGCCTGTTGGGTAACTATGGGCAAGTCACTTCATCTCTCTGTGCCTCAGTTTCTCCATCTATACAGTGGAAATAATGGTGCTGATCTCCCTTGTAAAGTGCCTTGAGATCTATGAACAAAAAGCACTATATAAGCTGTGACCAGGGTCCCAGTGGGGGCCAGCTGAGGCCACTCAATTAGGGTGAACTGCAAAGAATGAGGTAGACAATCCCCAAAAAGCTGGTGGATATTCCAATACTTTGATTTACCAAACCAGCATAAAACAGCTGCTTTATTACCTTACTGGTTACTCAGAAATCCAAACAACACAGTTCCCTTAAAGTGATCCAGCCTCAGGCCTCCATCCAGGTACCTAAGTCAAATATGATGATTTCTGAAAATCTTATTTCATCATATAAAAGAAAAGGTTCTACCAATCCCAAAGGATCGGACACATTACCTCCCAGGTTATTGAATATTCCAGATCTTACCCAAATACACACTACAGCCAATTCTTATTAACTAAACTAAAATTTATTAAAAAACTAGAGAGAGTGTGGTTAAAAGATCAATATACTTACAGACATGAGTTCAATTCATTGAGGTGCAGATTCATAGCAGAGATGGTGAGCTTTGTAGTTGCAAAGAGTTCTTTCAGAAATAGTCCATAGGTTCTACTCCAATGTCCAAATATCATATTCAGGGCGTTCCAGCATAACTGGGACCTCAGTCTTGCGACTCAAACTTCCCCTGATGAAGCCTAAGCATATTTGAGATGAACAGGATCAGGACCCAAGGATCTTTTATACAATTTCATGTCCTTTTTTTGACAAGTTGGAATTCCTCTGGGAACAAAAGGTAATTAGTATGACTTTGAAGGAGGTCCATCACCGGTACTTAGCCATACAGATTAACATAAGGCAATTTGCTTGTTCCTCCACCATTCACAGATGACTTGCTAAACATTTCAAAGAGAAATGAATACAGAGATATCCTGTGTTTACAATTCATTTAAATGCCAGGATGTTCTTTTGATCTCTGAATTAACAGAATACAACATAGACAGGGACTGTTGATTACATTGTTGACCCTATTAATATATATGTAAATACACAAAAACTCAAACATTGTCTGCCCACATGTCTTTTGAGGGTTATTTATTTTACAGGATGTTTAACCCTTTCTAGCCATGCGTCACATAAGCATGAAGTATTAGTCCTATGCAGCTTCTTGAGGTTCATGGCTGGGCCTCAGATGTGCTGTTAGCACTACGGATTTGCTTTTCAAAAGCGCAGAGCACCCACAATTCCAGTTAAAGTCAATGGGAACTACAGTTGCCAGCCATTCTGAAAATCAGGCCTTCCTTAGTGTATTTCTGATCCTTTTTTCCTTGATAGGCTTTTTTTCTCTTCTCCATGTGTTAACCTGTGTGATCCTACCAACTGTTCAAATTTCCATGTATGGAGTTGAAGACTTCATTGTAATGCCAGCATATTAAACTGGCAGTGGGAACCCCCTGGAATTTGACTGTACAATTGTCATTTGAGACATGCACGCTGTATATTAAATGTCATTAGCACACATTTATATAAATGTCTGAAGTGATTTAAAAACAATGCAGGCATTTATTAAGCAACTACCTTGTGATCTTTTGAAGTGACATATGGAATATACAGCCCAACTTTTCAAGCAGCTTCACAAAAAATTGTAAAATTCTGGCAATCTCACATTCTATTAAGGTGTACAAAACTAAGTTATTTAATACGCGAATTTTTGATCTCACAAGCGGAATCTGGATAGTAGTTTAAAATGTCATAGAAAATTGTCTCATCCCCGTACTTCTCATAAGTAACCATGGGATAGTACATTTTCTTTATAATCAGAAGTTCAGTTTTAGACTAAAAGCTTGTAATTGATTAGTTCTGTAATCAGTTTGGGGTAATTACTGGATTTATTTTTCCTTTGATTGCAGGGCCACAAGTTGTTGGGGATTTGTTCCTTGAAGTGATTCGAGCCTTTTATTCTTATTGCAAGGATGCCTTGGGTTCTGATCTTAAACTTAGCTACAGTCAAAGTGGCAATGTACTTACAAGGTATACCGTAACCATTTTCAACTAATAGTTGAAATTGTATCTTTCATAAGAAAGCTTACTAAAGTAAACTACACCTCTACCCCGATATAATGCGACCCGATATAACACTAATTTGGATATAACACGGTAAAGCAGTGCTCCGGGGGGGGGCGAGGCTGCGCACTCCAGTGGATCAAAGCAAGTTCGATATAACGTGGTTTCACCTATAACGCGGTAAGATTTTTTTTTGGTTCCCGAGGACAGCGTTCTATCGGGTAGAGGTGTATTCAATAATCACATTGGGTAAATCTTACCTGTTTGTTAATAGCATAAGTTCTAACAGTGTCTTTTTGATGTAAAAAAAATGAAAATCATTGATTTTTTTTTTTTCCAATCTGTTTTTTATTTTACTTTATATTTCCTACCCTGAGTTCTCCTTTAGCATCACAGGGTTGTTCTCTTCCAACCAAGAGGATTTGAGATCATTGATTTAGATTCTTGGCTGATAACATCATATTTATATATGCAGGGTTGCATACATAAATACATACACCCACCTTGTCTCTCTAACATCAGATTTATTACATAAATGTGTTGACAGAGCTCAACTTTTTAGTTCACAAAGGCCTGGTCTACACTAGGGGGGGGATCGACCTAAGATATGCAATTTCAGCTACGAGAATAGCGTAGCTGAAGTCGACATATCTTAGTTCGACTTTTACCTCACGTCCTCGCGGCGCGGGGTCAACTGCCGCAGCTCCCCCGTCGACTTTGCTTCCGCCTCTCGCCGAGCTGGAGTTCAGCAGTTGATGGGAGAGCAATCGGGGATAGATTTATCGCATCTACACTACACGCGATAAATCGATCCCTGATAAATCGATCACTACCCGCCGATCCGGTGTGTAGTGTAGACATACCCAAAATCAAATTAAAGGTTAAAGATTTCTCATGTCTTCAGAAACACTTGCAAAATTTAGCTATTCCAAAATGGTTGTTTTGAATTAAGGAACTTCATGTCTTTTCTTCAGGCCAACTTTCTAAGAATAGTTCAAATAATAATACAAAAATATGTATACTTGTTGTTTAGTCTTCACTAATCATTTTTGTTCTTCTTACAGTGCGATCAAAGAGAATAGAAGTGCCTCAGAAATTGTTAAAACAGTCAACTTGTTGATCACATCCCTAAGTACAGATTTTCTATGGGATTATATGACCAGATGTTTTGAGGACTGCTTCAGGTAGTTATCCTGTCTGGCATTAATGCAAAAATAAATTAAGAATTACATAGCTAGGACAACAGAGAAGTGTCAATGAAAGATTCAAATGCCAGTGCCATGATCCTAACCAAAGGGGCAGAGAGATGCATGGTTAGATACTGTACTCACCATCTAATACAAGTAGTTAAATCTGAGGCAGCTGTTTCTAAATACAAAATAAACTGCCATGGTTTGGTCACTCTTTCCAAAAAGCAACATGGTTGTTTTCTGGAGGAAAAACTGCATGTTCATAAGTAGAAAGCAAGGAGATCACATGGGATAAGATCATACTTACACTAGGATGATCTTTCCTGGCCACTTTGTTTTTTCAGCTAATATACATAAAATACAGCATACAGCAACTCCCCATACAGAAGAATCTGGCCTAGTGTCTTCTCACATGCTATGTAGAAATGAAATTAATATTGTTTAAGAGGCACACAAGGTAGCCAAACTTTTGTTTTTAGAATAGGTACACCTATTTAACTGTAATCAAAATTTTAATGGAAAAGTGCTTCCTCCAAAGTGTGCAATTAAGTATGAGTGTATTTTCATTCTAAACCTAATTAGGTAATTGAAAGGAGGTGTCCTGTCAGTCAGCATAGTATTTAAGCACCATAACTAGTGCTTGAAATGAGCCAGTATTTATTGGAATGGCATAATAGCACTCTTCCTTTACTCTGCTCTTGTCTATGCGAGTTTTATAACTTTTTGTCTTCAGAAGATGAATTTTCCAGAAAATATCCCTTTATATGCTAGGCTACTAATAGTTGGGGGTTTCCTCAGCACAGCAGAGAGGAATTAGACTAACGGGTAACATTGCTAAGTATCTAATATGAACCTTAAAGAAGAGAAGAAACTGGTGCTTATTTTGATCAAGATAATACAATGTGGTGTTGTACTTCTCTTAACTACCATATGTTAGGATGCTAAACTGTACACAACTTTGTGATCACAATAAAATGTTGATAAGTACTTGACTTAAACAGCCAAGTTGATGGTGGATACAAATCGGCCTTCTTGGCTTGTGTAGTTAGCACGGATGCCAATATAAAGTACATTTAGGTTTAGGTTTTTTAAAAAAATAAATAAATAAACCACACTTTCTCTTTCAATGCCAGGAATAAATCCATGCAGACAAGATACCCTACTGAGAATGTCAGCACTCCTCCTACAATCTCAGAGCTCTGCACACTACTGTTGTTCCTTCTTGATATGATTCCTTTGGTAAGACAAGTTTGACCTAAAGTTAATCATTTAGAGTCCTAACTCTCATTTTCTTTCCCTTTTATCAGATAAGATTCAGTTACACAGAAGTATTGCTTTTATTTTGGTGGATACATTTTTTTTTTTTTAATGGAGGAACTACATATTCATTTGAAAAGAAAACTGATGAATAAATACACAATCCTTTGAACCAAATCCTGCCCACTCTTACTCGTGTGAGGAGTTCCATTCAAGACCACTTAATGTCATGTAAACCAAGAGTAGAACTTTGTTCCTAGCCTTCTCAGCGTGTATAGGACTGAGGTGTTAATGGGGGGTTTACTGTCAGCATGGTATGCAACATATCCTCCTAATAAGAATGGTTTGGGGCTTCTCAGCTAATAGACAAATATCTTTGTAAGTTCTCTGACAAATATATAAACTCAGTTTCGGAATACCAGCACTCCCTGGAAAATCAATATATTGATTAGATGACTTACATACGAATAATGAACTTGTGAAAATTACTGAAATTTTCTAATTATAACTGGATACTTATAATAAAACTGTAATTTACTGAAACAGAAATTAGAATTGACTGGTAACTCATGCATGACTTGCAAAGTTCTGTATGCCCACTTGCTTGTGGGTGATTACTTTTCATTTTACTTGCCCATCCAAAAAAAAAAAAAATTCATTAACTGTATCCTATTTTAAAGGATATATATGCCATGTATTGTCAGGGGTTTTTTTCCCTTTGCTGCTTGGGTGGATATATTATTTGGACTGTTTTGCAAGGCTATTATCAGTAGTCAAATTCCATTCAACACTAGGATCTGGTTCTATGTTCAGCATTGAGTGGAGTAGTAGAACTATTTAAAGCAACTATATGTAACTTAACTCAATGTGCACATGTATTAGTCACATCTATGCTCACTGAAGTTAGACTTTATATTAGGCAGCTTGACAATGGTAAAATCCATTTCTGTCTGCTAAGCCATTTAGCATTTAACTACTTTAAATCCCTGCTTATTTTAGGAACTTTACTCTGAAGTGCAGACTCAGTATCTCCCACAGATGCTCAGTTACATGGTACAGTCTCTTCTGGAGAATGTGGAGACTCTAAGTTTACCAGAACTCACTCATGCTTTAAAGACCTGCTTCAAAGTGCTTAGCAAAGTACAAATGCCTCCTGCCTACTTGGATAATGAGACCGGAAGTGAAAACTCGGTAGGTATTGCTGCAAGGCCTGTTGCATATTTGCTTATAAATAACTATTCACAAATCAAAAGTGTTGTACTCTCCATAAAAGAATTTGCATTATTAAAATAAGGTATGCTACTAACTTTTCTACTCTAACTGAAATGTAGGTTACTCATCGCAGCAGTATAGTTTCTTGAGTCTTTCCTGTTTAGGCCCCTTTCATAGGCTCTGATCCACTTTGTGCCATGTATCTGAGCTGGTCTCATTTTGGGCACCAATCCCAACCTTAATTGACTTGTTGCCTAAGCTGTGCAAAGGCATAGTGTTGTCTAAAATTAGGATGTGGTGCAAACCCCTTTCCTGCTCCATCCCATCCACTGAAAAGAGCCCGGTCTTCTGTGGATGCTACTCAATGTACTGGTAAGATGCCCTGGGGCATTTGAAATAAAGAGTTGAAGTGGCCAGATCAAGCCCAGCCTTTTTGTTATCAAGATTACCTGGCCTGCTACAAGATGCATGTTAATAGAACAAATTGTTAAGCTCACAAGAACATGGCAAATAATTAATGTGTGATACAGGTAGAAAACAAACTACACAGTTTGCTAATGATGAGCAATAATACAAGAATAGAAATAACAGTTAGAAACAATCAGACTTGGCAGTCGCTGCTTTATTGATGTTATAATCAATGGCATAACAAGGAAACCCTTTCCTTCCACGCTTTATCACTTCTTAAATTTCCTGTTGGGCTGCTATTGCACAACATTAGATCGTGAAAGTGCTGAACATGGCCCAGAGCCTCAGAGAGGAGGAGGTGTGAGGTGTAGTTTTAAAACAAGTATAGTTTTGTCTTCAATGCAACAGAGCCACTCATCAATAGCCACATCTAACTATTTCATATAAATATCTCTTTGGCTCCAACAATTGCCAGATAAGGTGGTTTATTCATAAATTCAGGAGATTCATAGATTCCAAGGCCAGAAGGGACCATTGTGACCATGTAATCTGGCCTTCTGTATAACACAGGCCATAGGATGTTCCCCAAAAAAGAGAATATTGGCTAAACAGCAGTCATCAGCAGGACCATAACTCTTACAAGTCTATTGATACCACTTTCACAAAGACACTGCACAAGTTATCAGGGCAGAAGGGAAGGGATTCCTGTCCTACACTCTTTTTTCCCCCCTGCTGCCCCAAGTGTGATTTCAGTTATTTAAAGAAACTCCAAAAATACAGTGTAATGAAATAGACACTCACTGCTTCCATTTCAGAGCCCAGTGAAACAAGAAAACAGTGATATAACTTTAGAAACCAAGCCTGCACTACAGGATGAAGATGACACTGCTTTCGCTCCCCTCAAGTCTGAAGACAGTGGCATAGGTCTAAGTGCCTCATCCCCAGAGCTCTCTCAACACTTAAGATTGCCAAGAGTGACTCCTGAAAGGGATGATGTTTGGAAAAATGGGGGGAGTATTCAGAGGACTTTGCATTGTATCCAAGAGTTAGTTGATAAGTTTGCCAGTAAATACATTTTTGGGGTGCATTTACAAGATCCAGGAAATGGCAGAATTTCGATAGCAAACATGAGCAGAGGAGAGAAGAAAGAAAATAATTACAGAGTCGCTGAAAATGCTAGCAAGAAAAAGAACCCCTGGGAAGGAAAGCAAATTACCGTACCGCAGTTTAAACAAATGCTTTCAGACTTGTTCACAGTTCGAGGATCACCATTTAAACAGAAAAGTCTGGAGCCTCTCTCCCCTGCAAACCGTGACCTTGGTAGCAAAAAGGGAAAAGAAGAATGGGACATTGAGCAGGTAATGCTTGATTTGGGGGACATGAAAGAAGACTGCAGAGAGGCCTTTGCTGCTGCTTGTCACCTTCTACTGGATTGTACTACTTTCCCAGTCTACCTTTCTGAGGAAGAAACAGAACAATTGTATTTATCTCTGTTTCAAGTTCCTGGTAAGAAGTGTCTTAGACAAATAACTTCAGTGTCCCAAAATGTAAATTGTACTACAAACTAAATGCACTATGTACTAGACACAACCAAGAATGTGTACACAATATAATATGACAGGGTGTGTATGATGAATGCAGTTGTAGTACATTTGGGTATTTGGAGGGATATGGGGAGAGACTGAAGGCAAATTGCTTACTGTGTCCAAGACATGCCCATATTAGAGTGCATCTTATGTTTTAGAATTGAGTGTATTTTGCAGTTTTTGAAATCCACTTTGTTCTCCTTTGAAATACTTTGGTGTTCTGGTCCTGGATAAAACAATTCGCCCCACCCCCTCAGGGTTCCCTGGGAAAAGAGGGTCAACACTGGCTAACATGCAGCATCAGAACAAATTGCATAATTAGGGCTGGTTCCCATTGATAGTTCAGCTACTCCCCTGGAAGAGGGTAAGATAGAAAAGATAGGCTTGTGGTGGACACAGGAGTGGGGCAATGGGAGATCTGGGTTCTGCTTCTGGTTTTGCGACAGATTTCTGATATCAGTAAAATGGGGATAATACTTACCTACTCCCTGGACAGTTGTGTCTTCAACGTTAGGGCTTGTCTACACTGGCAATTTACAGCACTGCAACTTCCTCACTCAGGGGTATGAAAAAACACCCCCCTGAGCACAGCAAGTTTCCGCACTGTAAAGTGCCAGTGTAAACAGTGCACCAGCGCTGGGAGCTACACCTCTCGTGGAGGTGTTGTGTGTGGTTTTGGTTTTTTTAGCGTTGCCAGTGTAGACTAGCCCTCAGTTCTTTGAGATGCTCCGATGGAAGACACTTCAGTTATGTCAAGTGTTCTAATTAAAGGGTTTAGAGTCATACAGCTTCTGAGTTTCCAGGATATCATGTTGGAGTCAATATGGGCATTCTGACTTTTAGGGCTTTTTCATCTACATAGTCCATAGAAAGTAAAGAGTTTCCAAGGAAGAAAAAACAACCTCACTCCTAAATCAGAGAATTTGTAGTAAGGAAGGGAGGAGTGAGTAACTTTCTGTAAGATAGTTCATACAGAAGCTACATGAATAGGAGAATGAATAATGTTAATTTAAAAAATATTACACATGCTTAATTTTCAGCGTGGTTGGTCTTTTTTCATTTGATTGAGCCCAGACATTCCTCTCTCAAAGTAGATAATGAGGCACTAGCAGTCTTCTACAAACATGGATTTGTCAGGGGATTTTTGTTACTAAAAGTCCAAAGCGTTATATTTATAATTATTACCAAATCTTGTCCATGACTTTCCTATTACAATTTTTGAGGTGCTTGTGTTTTAGGACCTTTATATTTAGTTACTTTTAATTGTACCCCAACATATTCCTCTCTCAAACAAATTAGTCTAGCTGTTAATGGAAGTACCATTAATGTAACAGAATATACAACGAAAATGCATGCATTTGGGGGAGGGGAGGTGTTGAGAGGATGGGGCTCTTGGTAGAATGTTGAGATTTGCTATGTTGGTTAGCTGTTTTAATGTTTTTTCCTATTCTTTTGGGCTGCTTCATGGTATCTTAGTGGATAATAAAATTTAATTGGTGTTAGGAGAGCCTAAAACATATGCATAAACTCTTTTAATAGAATAAAAGGGTAGTACATAACATATTTTAGTAGGTCAAGCTAATGCTACACATTGAAATACACCTCTACCCCGATATAACACGAATTCGGATAGAACGCGGTAAAGCAGCGCTCCGGGGAGTGGGGGTGAGGGCTGCGCACTCCGGCGGATCAAAGCAAGTTCGATATAATGCAGTTTCACCTATAACACGGTAAGATTTTTTGGCTCCCGAGAACAGCGTTATATCGGGGTAGAGGTATATAAGAGTTGTTATAAAGCTCATGATTTTGTGGGAAGGTAAATTCCATGGCATCTTCAGATTTGACAAATGTCTGATAAAGTAATCTAACATTTAAATGTTATAAAAGCATTTTTTTCCCTGTCTGTCTTCTGAGGAGGTTGTGATACCAGCTTCCCTCTGTGGCTTAAATCCCTAATGACGATATGCTGCTGCGTAAATGACTGCTACATTCAGAATGTGTCCATCTCCACGCTGCTTGAAGTTATCAACCATTCTCAGTCACTGGCACTTGTGATTGAAGACAGAATGAAGCGGTATAAAATCTCTGGACACAACCCCTTCTTTGGGAGACTGCAGATGGTCACAGTTCCTCCAATTGCTCCTGGCGTTCTAAAGCTAATATCAGAGAAAACAGACTTCTATCAGGTGTCAAACTCTTTACTGTACAAATATGCTTTAGCTAAAATATGTTAGTCATAATTAGATGGATTTCTGGGATAATTCTAACACAACATTAAAGGTAGTGCCTTCATGTCTACTGGAGAGACTTATGTATGGCCTAGGTATACACACTCTGACATAATTTATGTCTCTTATAATGTATCATGGCCGATATTTTCAAAAGTCAGTAGTGATTTTTAGAAAACCTTAACTTTCTTGTGCACAGATTTAAAGGTCCCTGAATTTTAGAGGGTGGATGCTCAGCACTTTTGGAAAATAAAGACCCAGGTGTCCCAAGTGGGGCACCAAACATCACTAGTCACTTTTTGAAAATCTTGATCCCTAACACTAAATGTCTTCATTTGTTTTTGTTTTGTGAACTCGAAGACTACATTTTAGAAGGATTTTATGCTCTTTTGAGCTCCCAGTATGAAAAATTGGTGATGGTAGATAAAATGGGGAAAAATTCAAAGTACACTCTATTCCACATAAGCGGGGGAGAGGGGAAGATATTTCTGAAGGGTGCCCTATCAGTAGTCATTTGTGGTCCAATAGCCACTTTCAAATACTATTGCAAAAGAGCTACATTGAGAGTTTTTAAACAGCTTCCATTTTATCTATTGATAATAGAAAGTACAAATTTCAACTGGCTGGTGGGCCCCCAAATGCTGTTTAAAAGGCAAAACATAGGGGGCAGGAAAAGAAGTTTAAAATGATTGCTTTCCTTTTTTGTTACCTCATCAGTTTCTCTTGTCTTTCCTGCAAAGCTTAGTAACTGGGATAGGGGTAGCAGGAGTCACTCTTCCCCATTCTTTGCAATTGAATCCTTTCTTTAACAAAAAAACCAACAAAACCTTATGGTAGAAATAGATGGGATGGAGGATAGTGGAAAAGAGACCGGATACCATTATCTAAATTATATACTCTGGTAATAAGGTGGAAATGTTATACCTGTGCGTCACTGGAGATTTAAACATAGATAGGATATCTTCATTTGGATTATGGCTTTGGACAATCAGCATCCATATTATTCATAGACAAAATATTGTATCTAAATCCAGTGGGTGCCTCTTTGATCAAATACCATAGTCATTTTTTTTCATTCTGCAATATGTTGTGATTATTTATAGGAATATTTCTAAGGACAGCTGTAAGGTTATCTTACTATTTCTCTCTGCTTCCGTTCAAGGTCAACTCTCAACTCTTTGTAATAGGTAATGTGAAGGGCAGTTGAGAGGCTTAGCTGGAAGGAGAAGGGCATGTCTAAGCAGCTAGTTACTTTTTAAAACGACGTGCGGGGGGGGAGATTCTAAATTAAATTTTTAAACTTTAATTGGGAGCTACTGTTTAGTCGTGTGAGGCAAAGATGGCTCTATCACATTACCACTTCTTTCAACCTTGTTCCTCTTTGTATGCCAAAGTGGTAAAACTATCCCGGTGTTCCATTTCTTACCTATGTGCTGCTTTTGTGTTACAATTTTTAGTATTGTTTACATCATCTGAATTCTGCATGTTTGGGGTGGGGATTAAAGTTAGAAATGGAAGCAGAACTCTGCTTTCCTCACCTGTTAGTGGACAGACATGAATTGATTGCAACTCCAGGACAGTGCTATTGTGTTCCCCTAGTTCTGGATTTATGTATCAGCCTCTTGCACTTCCCTAAACTAAGAATATGCAGGATAGGAAAATATGAACTACTCTTTTCACAAATACAGAACACTTTAGTGTTTATACCAAACTTTTAAACCAGTGGGACTGGTACAATTTATTTTATCTGTTCCCCTAGAGAGTCGCTCAAGTACTTTGGAATCAGCTGAACAAAGAGACAAGGGAGCACCACATTACCTGTGTGGAGCTGTTTTATAGACTGCACTGCTTGGCTCCATCAGCTAATATTTGTGAAGATATTATTTGTCATACGCTATTGGATCACGATAAAGTAAGTCCTGTATTTCCTAGGCTGCCTCATTATTGTAGTGTTTTACCTGTAGCTCCAGCCAACCTTCAGCTCCCTGGCCGCACAGCTTCAGGGCTTCTCAACTCCTGCTTCTCTAGAGACCACAGTTGAGAATCTCTCACTCCTCCCTGTGGTGCATTCCCTCAGAGTCTCTGGATGAATCAACATAGGACCCATCTTAGTCATTGGATGCTATCCACTTTCCCTAAAATCACAGATTCTCCAAAATTAACAGTCCTTCACAGCATTTCTAAATATTTTCCAGATCCACGGTAAGTCTGAAAACAAGTTGGGCTGGACACTGACTTATTCTTCCCAACCTTATGTTCTGATAAGTCATTTGACCCTGTGTCGGAGACAGCATTGAACGGCTCCTAGACCAGGCATAGTCAAACTATATTTAAAATGAGCAGATTCCCTTTAGCAATTTCATTTCCCTATTTTAAAAATCGATCAGTTCTTTTAGTTTTTCTGACAGCTAACATGTAAGTTAAATAAAAGGTCACAGCATGATGCTAATATATAACCAATGTCTTAAACCTTCTGTGATTCATTTTATATATAGATATATCTATATATATCTGCTCTCACAATTCTGAAACTTGTTATATATTAGGATCCATACAGGGGTTGTGGGTATCTGAATAGTCAAGAGTTTGGAAACCTTTATTTTAGACTCTTATACACATTCAGGGATGATAAATCCTCAGTAAGGTCTGCCCACTAATAACAGTCCCTTCGTATGACCCTTCTTTGTCATCCAACCCCCAATAACTCAAGAGATTAAAATACTGTAAATGGGAATTCCAAACATGTCTTTTCTTTGAAATCATCAGCTTTTTTTGTGCACTAGGTGCTTTTTTGTTTTGATTGCCTTGGGTTGTGAGTGCATGGCAAGAAAATGGCATTGTGTGTTAATCCTGTCTAGAAATGAAAAACAGGTGCAGAAGTCTTAAGATTTTAGAAGTCATCTATGCAATAAGCATTGTTTTTTACTAGAGCCTTTTAAATTCACTAAACTTACTACATTTATCACAGAATCAAAAAGTTCCTGTCTTTTCTTTTTCCTTCTGTAAAGGGGACAAGGCTGGAGGCACTTTTCAGATTCTCTGTGATATGGCATTTGACCAGAGAAATCCAAGGCAGCAGAGTCACTTCCCACAATCGATCCTTTGACAGGTATTGTTGTACTTTTAATTTGCCTGGCTTAATGTTTATATAAATATATTTAGTTAAATTATACTTTTTTGCTAGGAAAAAAAATCTCCTGGACAGTCATATGAACCAAAGTAAGGGTGTCAAATATTTATTTATTTTTAACTTAAAAATAAAAACCCCTATTTGTGTT